CCCCACCTTCTTCTTCCTTTATTTTGCCCCCTTCCCCCGCCTTTTCCCCGCCTTTTTTGATGTCTATTTCTACTCTGCTTGTTTTCTCCTTAAGTAGTCTCACGCCATATTACTATGTTATCCTTGAACTCCTTTAGTCTCCCTCTTATCTAGACAGAGAGTCTAGGTAGGCACAGTTGGGACAAACCTCATGAACCTTAAAAATTAAATCTTGCAGCTTCATCAGACCATATCCATATTTACTTACTTACATGTATATCGTTAACTTTGCGTCTTTCTACAAACTTGTTCGTTATACAACGCTCAATATATGCTATGTAGTATAGAATCGGTCCTATCCCAACTATGAAGACATTTATCTACTTTTATATGAACGGCACGATATGTTTCTGGTGATTCCTCTGTTATGACTGACCAACTTCCTGGCTAACACTTGAATAATCAGCCAGAGACATGTTGTACATTTTTTTGGGAAGTCTCTTCAACTACCCATGAATTTATCTTATAAGGCGATTCAGGAGCCCATTTCATCTATTGGTCCTTCTGCACCAGCAAGTCTTCATCTTCTTTCTGCTTACTCTTTATATTTTTCCTCTGATGAGCAAGAGTGAAAACTGTTGTAGCTGTTATAAGCAACAACGAAATCAATCAATATTCTCCTGACAGGAATCAATCAGAAAACTTCAGGCTTTATCCGCTTCTGGCCCTGTAGTCAAAGATTCCGCCAGGCACATATCCCAAGCGGCCAACGATTTCCCTGTCATCATTTACCCACCACGAAAATGAAAAGCGGTTCCTATTTTATTAGATTTTGACAAATTGTGTGGGCATCGGTTTGAGATCGGTACGTACGTTGACAATCGTTACTCGATCGGTCGGCCTTGACGAGTTGTGGTGCAGCTCGTATTTTCCACGGTACGCATACGTCACCGCGGCCCCCTTTCTACATTCTCTCTCTGCTCATACGATCATAAAATCAATAAATCCAATATCGAAGCTGGACCACTACGAGGAAAAGGAAGTCTGAACCACTTTTCTGTGTGAAGTGTGTGGTGTTTTCCCTGGTCGTTGGCAGAAGCTAGGAGTACGCCTTGAGTAAGGGACCACATTCTTTGCCGACAGGTACGTACCTTGAGATCTGCAACTTCGGACAGGAGCCCTATGTACTAGTGATTCAGTTCACTACTTAGGGCTTTTCGAATTTCCATATGTTCTACACTTCCTCTCTCCTTTTATCAAATTCTAATATCAGGCGAAAATAACGATTCTGGATGCAGAGAGAACCGCATATGGAGGAGGAACGAGCAATCGCCACTGGCGAGTCGTTTGCACGAGTCGCGACATATCCGAGTTCCTGGAATCACTGAGACGCTGTTAATACGACCTCATTCCCATCTCCCCCGTTTATTACACTCCAGCTATGGGTTGGAGATGTAGCAGGTAAGTAATCATCATATCCGCGTCATCCAAGTTTTTGGCAAGGCGGGATGAACAGCAATTAAGGGATTTTAGTGATTGCTGCATGTATGCCGCAACATGACTACAAACAATAGAAACAAGTTCTGACAATTTGCCTCTCCTTTTCTTATGTTCAGCTCTAAAGTATAAATCGGGATTTTGCTGACTGCCCCCTTTATTAGCGAATCTCCTCTCGAAGCGTCAAAAGACGGGGTAAATGATGCCGAAGCTATATGTTTTGGGAATTGACAAGTGACGAGCGGAGTCAGCCTTGAGGGCACGCATGGCGTATAGCTCGTGGCGCAAATTGCAATTTGAACGGCTCGGAATTTGGATCTTGCCATAAATTGGCATCTTCTCTTCTTCACAGATCCCATAAAACGCGAACGACGAATGAACTATAGATGATAATCTGAAGGCAGGCCCGTCTATGGACATGAGACGAAGAGTGTATGCACTACCCTCTACTTATCACTTTCCTCCGCTATATAGATCTTACGCTGACTTCCTTCTCAGATAAAAAGTCAAAAGCAGCCGCCTCCACTCCAAAAGGATTACGTATCCTCCATCTCTCTATTTATCGCATTATTAAGAACATCGTAAGTAAGCTTCTCTACATTCCTCACTCGAGGGTGAACAAAGAACGTAAAAATACCAGCAACTATGATGATGAGTGTCCTATCTACGTACTGTTTTTGATGTTGGGCTTTCCAGCTCTGAAAAACAAAAAATCGATTTCCCTTTCTGAAAAGCTGTGTCTCTTTCTTCATTCAGTCTTAGTACCGTCTTGACATTCGGGACTTTGCTGACGAGTGGATATGAAGTAGATCCAGATCGACCGTGTGCTCTTATGGTTTTGTACTACTGACGTATGAGGAGTTTGTTTCCCTTCTCAGAATAGGATGCCCACAAGAGGGTGGATAAGGTGAGTCTGAGCAACCGGGAAGATAACTAAGGAATGTTTCGGCCGTCTGATAGTTGTGATCTCTGGTGGGAATCAGCTGGTTTGCTTGAAGATTGCATTGAAAAATGGCACACTGGTGCACTCATTCAAGCATATGGCGGTAAGTAGTCGAGCAGAACGTAGGCTGTAGTTAATAGATAAGAGGGAAAATCAGGAATCTAGTTGCAATAGAGAAGGTGAACAAAGACATGAGAACGTTGTGAATGCAAGTGACATCTTTCGTAGTGGGCAGTTTCTGGGGGGGGTAGTAGTTTCTCCGGTCGGAAGTTGTACGGGAGTATCGGGTGGTAAAGATCCTAAGATCCCAACTAGATAAAGTATTCGAAGACCGGGGCGGACCTGCTCATGTAGATATAAGCGGTTCTGTCATCCGGTGTCTTCGGTACCACCCATATCGATAGCATTCATTTCCGATATTTACCAATGGCCGGAACAGACTTCTCACGTCGCGCTCGAGCTTTCCTTTGCCCTGCTTCGCACATAGACCATGACCTATGTTCAGGCATCCAACAGTAAACTCGACCCTGCTATCATCCCGAAGATGGAATGCCATCCGGAACCAGTAACGGAGGCCGGGGCATCCCGCACGAGCAAGCTTCAGACCTCACAGACATTGCCCACATTTTGGATCAGAGTAACGGGTATGATGGCTTCTCCTATGATACACAGCTCCCATTCCATCCAACCACCAATTGCCCCCGAGCTATCCGTAAATGATGCTACCCTTACTCTTCACAGCATCTCCACCCTCCGCATGCTCTAGTGGCCGGCCGCCGCGGGCTTGTCCTTCAGGTGAGGGTTGCGGGGGTCGTTCTTGAACTCGGCGCCTGTGGTACGCATTGGATCAGTCGGTGCTCCCTGTATGCATCTCCGGAGGATACTCACTGTTCATCATGGCGTTGGCGGCGGAGTTGACACCGTACATGATGATGAGACCTATTCAATTAATTCAGCACCAGTACCTCCTCTCCGAGTCCTCGATCGATCTCAATCGAAAGAAGGAAGTTATCGCGTACCGGCAGCGTAGAAGGGAGCCATGGGCCCGGCTGTTCATCTCATTAGCACTCAGCGCTCTCGGAAAAGCTTTTCCACACCAATTGACGTACCGACAGGGGTGGGGAACTTCTTTGGTAACCAGGACATCGTGAGGCTCGTGTGCGAGGAGGTGAGAGAAGAGTTGCGATGGGTCTGGAGATGGTTTGATGGGTTTGTATTGTTGCCGTCGATGGGTCTGCGGACGTTGGAAGCCGGGAGCTGTTTTGAATGCGCTAGGTGCAATGCGGCATAGCGTGCAAATAAGTCACATGATCGGATGAAGGGCAAAAACACGTGAACTGTCATCGGTTATAATTAGTCATATATTAGTCAGCGACGAGGTTCCCCTCAAAAGACCCAAAATGCGGGGTGAAAGAGGAGAGACTAACGATAAACCGGCAAATCCACAATCCAATCCACATCTCCGGCTTCAACAACCGCCTCTGGTTCTTTGTCCAATCAATTGTCGCCCTTCAACTGCTCCCCGGCTTCTTCGTCCTGATACATAGCTCCCATATCAATGTGACCGGAGAGCTCTGCGAAACCTTCCATCTACAAATCTACTCCGCGCCCTGCTCTCGTGCTCACGATTCACTCATCTCCCTAGCAACAGCCAACTTGGTTCCGCGTTACTATACTAATCCGCCACGCGACACCCCAGCTCTCATACCAACCCAAACACTGCCATTAACGCGTCCAATACAATCAAGATGTTTGGCCGCCAACTAGTCAAGAGCTCCAGCTCTCTCAGTCCTTCGACCTCTTCTTTCATCCGCGCCCTCAGCACGAGCGCGCCTCTCTTGCGATCCCCAGCCCTCGCAGACATCACCCCCGAAGGCGTAACGTCATTCGATTCCAGACAGAAGGAGTTCCGAGCACGGTTAGCAGAGCAGTCCAAGAAGAAGCTGGAGAGCAGTACGTAGTAGCCCTTCCTCTACCTCCGAACTCCCACTGCCCCGTCGGTGGGCAATGCGAGTAGTCCCCGTTCTAACTCGATCCCGACGTGGCTCTAGGCTCACAGAGCTCTACTACAATAGAATTCACGGCAGAGGAGCATGGCAAGAAGTCCGGACCAATCTCGAACCTGATCTATGGGACGAAGGAGGGTCGGCGGATGGACGAGGAGATCGAGCAGTCTTTCTCGCAGGTTTTGGCCAGGGGGAAGTACGTGCATAGCATCGTGTTCCATGAGGTGAAACCGGATAAGGTCGATGAGTACGTGGAGTTGGTAGGGAGCTGGTATCCGCGGATGGCCGGGATGCCCGAGAACAAGGTCCATCTGGTAGGAAGCTGGAGGACCGAAGTTGGCGATTGCGATACCTTTGGTAACTCTCGACCCTTTCTCATCCCATCCGCATGAGGACGAAGCCGGGCTAACAGTTTGGAAGTTCATATCTGGGAGTACCAACGCTATGATGGCTACCATGATTCCCTCCACAGCATCGCCAGCCACCCCGAGTTCCCTGCCTTCAACGCCAAGCTCAAGTCCCTCATCCGCTCCAAACGCACCTCCCTAATGCAAGAATTCTCCTTCTGGCCGACCACGCCCCCCCGCCAACTCGGCGGCCTCTTCGAGCTGCGCTCCTACACCCTGCACCCAGGAAACCTGCTAGAATGGGAATCCCACTGGCGCCGCGGCCTCGAAGCGCGGAGGGAAGTCATGGAAGGCGTCGGCGCCTGGTTCGTCCAGATCGGCGAGCTGAATACCGTGCACCACCTGTGGCAGTTTGCGAATTTGGAGGAGCGCAAGGTCCGTCGAGAGCAGAGCTGGAGCGTCCGGGGATGGGGCGAGACGGTCCATAAGACGGTCCCGCTGATTCAGACGATGAAGAGTCGTATCCTGATCCCTATGCCTTGGAGTCCTGTTGCTTGAGGGACTGACTATGCGCTGAGAGGGTGCTTCGGCCGAGCGATTGCTGGTAGAATGGGGTTATGAGAAATAACAGAGAGATGATGACGGATGTACGCTACTTCATTGATGGGTGGTTGGCTTTGCGAGGCATTATCAGGCAGTTGAGCATTGAGGTCATGCAGCAAGCAAGCAAGTAAGCAAGCGGTAGCAGCTGCATTCTGTGCATCACTTCTCATGGCTGCTTACCAAAAAACTGTACTTTACTTTCTGGTGTTGATGAACAACGACATACAGTATTGAAGACCAAACCCAGACTGCATTCGCCATGCTGCAATCCAACGTCGCCAAAGACTCCGGTGTACAAACCCAATAGATAAAATAAACAGTCCCGTCCCAGAATCCCCTCGTCAGTCATCATCCAACGCTTTCCCAAGCACCACCGCCAACGCCACTCTACTCCCCTGCACCGTCGCCTCCAACGCGCCCAACTTGGCTCCCAACGACAACAAACTCGGATCCGCGCCCCCCACCACCCTCACCTTCTCCTTAACCCTGACCTCCTCCCCCCGATACACAAACACCGTATCCATCTCATCATGCTCCAGACGTCTCTGCGCACCAATCGCGTACGCGAGCCGCTCGCCGAGATTCTGCTCGCGGTGCGCATTCTCCAGCGTGCGCGCCGTAAGCACGAGGCTTGAATCGCTGACGTGGAGCGAGAGCGCGAGGTCTCTGGGAAGGGGAGGGGAGAAGGATTCCGGATCCGGAGGGTTGACGTTCCAGGGTTGGATGTGGGGAGGGGTAGGGATGGGGTACCTTGAGGGATCGGGATTGGGATCGGGGGCGGGAGCCGCTGCGCTGGGTGAGGAATAGGGAGTTGGTTTTGGGAGGGGAGGAGATGAGGGACCTTTTAGAAGACCGAGGGATTCGAGGAGGATGTTGTGGAGGAGGTGTAATTGGCTGGCTATGAAATCGGGGGAGGTGCGATCGCCGGTCCAGCGTGTGATATCGATGCAATCCAAGCTTTGGTTAAGGAGGGTGCGCAACAGTGTTAGTTCTGGGAGGACGAGGGGGTGGTTTGGAGAGAGTGTGAATTGCAGAGGAGAGTGGGTTTTGAGACGGAGTGCCAATTGCTAGTTTCAGGCTCTTAGCTATGCTTTCTTGGGGTGTTCTTGGGGGGAAGAGGGAGAGGGGGGAAATACGCCTTTGACGATGCGTGATCCAACGCGAGTAACATGGCCCTTGATGCTCTCACTCCGCGGACTCGACATCACCAGTGTGTTCCCGGGCTCGATAGGTGCAAGCAGTGCATAACACTCCTCCAGCCCTGACTTCAGCGATGCGAGCGTCTCCTGGAGGGAGTCGAGCAGCCATGCAAGTTCGCGTGCCTATGCATTTTCCTGATCAGCTTTCCGTTCCATCAATCAATGGAATGGATAGTGTGCACACCGTAGAATCATCTTCCTCCTTCCTAAGTAGATCCGGTGAAATGGGAGGCCAGACTGAAGTTGACATTTTGTGGTTTGGATCGAATTGAGGTGAGTGAAGAGGGGAGCTTTGGAGCTTGGGGAGCTTGGACGGGGAGGATTCCGCGCTTGACTTGATTTGGCGGCGGTTCCTGGCGGTCTGGCGCGGCACTTCGCGAGATCTTCAAAATCATTTTGGCCCACCTATGATACACTTCACTTACCATACCTTAGGCCTCGGGGTCCGAAGATTATCTACAACCCACCACCACGCTCACAACAGAATAAGTGTACAATCCGAATCCTCAAAGCAAAACTGTCCACAATGGCGAAATCTCCACCAGCTTCCTCCCCCAAACAACAACCCCCAAAGCTCCCCCGCCTCTCAAAAAGTACCTCTCCCCCTCCCTTCTCGTCGAGTCAATCTAACTCTTCTTCCCACAGACCAAAAAATCCAAAAGCGCCCTCTTCTACACCCTGCCATCCCGTCCCCACACGCCTCCTCCAACGCCCCCAAAACCATCTACGTATCCGCCTCGTCGCCGTTCCTCTCGGTCGTGAAACGCGTCAAGAAATACCTCGCAGCGATTGAAACGCGGGCCGCGGGACCGATAGACCTACGGCACCCGTCGAGGAATGTGGTGCAGCAGGTAAGAGACGGGGTGAGGAGCGCGGCGAGGCACGAGGAGATCTTGTTGAAGGGGACGGGGAGAGCGGTGGAGAAGGTCTTGAGGCTGGCGGTTTGGTTTCAGGGGGAGGAGGGCAGGGATGAGGGAGTGAATGTGGTGGTTAGGACGAGCAGCGTGGGTGCGGTTGATGATGTGGTTGTGAAGAAAGGGGAGGAGGAGGAGGAGGTTGAGGAAGATGAGACTAGAATCAGGAGAGTGAGTTGTCTGGAGGTGGGCATTAGTTTGAGGTGAGATGGATGAATGGTGTCGATGCCTGAGTTGAAGCTGGGGATATATATCCACGAAAAAGGATATCCTGGAAGCCGACGCCAGGGAGGGCAAAGGAACCGTCTGTTATGGCCTGAATAGGTCGCTTCGTTGGAGACAACCAAGAGACGCCCTTCCCCGGAATTCCCGTTCGAGTCCATTATGGAAGAACGCACGAAACGGCAATGCATAGCGGATGGAATTCAGGAACCTGCTTCGAGGACAGAATAAGTCCGGTCCCGGGGTAGAAAAGCGGTGTATTGCAGCTATACACCACATGGTTAGAAAATTAAGGCAGGCTCACGTGGAGAAGAACGTTGGCACCACAGCGTGTCATCAGTGAGGATGATTGGTGTGATGTCTGGGGTTATTTATAGTAGGGAAAGGAAAAGAGTGGAGTGAAGATGTCATGGCAAGAGGCTTCATACAGTATATACAACTGAATTGAGGTTCTAAATCCTAACCCCCAACATGCTTGAAACAGTATTCCTTGAATTATCCTATTCTAGGACATTCCACCTCTCCCGTTATTTACAGAACCTCAGCGTCTCTCCACTCCTAACAGCAACAGCTCAACCCATCATGTTGAGAAAATAACCTTCTTTTGCATCGTCTGCTTAAAGACCTGCAGCGCGACCTCGGGTTCTGTACAAGACATTCATTAGCCCTATGTCCGGCTCCCCAAAAACTTCTCTCCCATTTCTCTTCTCGACCATAAAAGGGGGGAAGGGGAAAACCAAATAACAAGCAAAAGGAACCTCGAAAACTCACGATAGTAAGAAACCTCATGCCCCGCCCCAAATACCCTCAACCAGCTCAAATTCCCCTCCGTCTTGAAAGTGCCGCCGGCCACCCCATCCACCGTATAATTCACGGCCTCCTTTGCCGCAAACGCAGCCGAGCCATCAAAATCGACTGCGTTCGCGACCGCTAGCCCGCCGAACCAGTTACAGATCCAGTCCGCGTCGCCCGCCCACAGGAGCACTTGGATGCCGGACTGTACCACCGTTGAGAGGGTTGCGAGGAAGGAGCGAGAATCTATATTTTTGCGCGGTTAGTGGGGAAGGGGAGGAGAGAAAGGGGTAGTGGGGGACGAACCATCGCCGGTACTGCTGAATTTATTATACGGCGCGGAAGGACACTCGCTATAATTGCTCTGCGCGCCAATTGCTGTCATGACATCGGAGCTCTGCAGATACGACACATACGTCGCGGGGGGATAGGGGTCGTTACTCGGTTCTCGAATATCATACACATCGAAATCGCCACTGTTGGAAATCGGGCCTTCGATATCATTGTAGCACGTTGACTCGGCGTTCTCGCACGCGGAATTGCTGCCGGTCGTGCTGGAGCATTCCTTGAGTGCGGGGAGACAGGAGCTGGTGTAGGTGTTGGTATAGGAGGTGTGTTGCGAGGCGCTAATCAGGGGAGAATAGGTGTTGTTGTAGCTGAAATCGATGTAGGCTTTGTACTGTATGATAGGGTCGTACCAGCCGTTGTTGATGCCCAGGGCGACCAGGGAGATGTTCTCCCCCTTGGTGGTGCCATTTGCAATAGCTGCGTTCTGGGATTCAAAGTAGGATGCGAATTCTGGCTCTATTAGCATCGTGATGCAGAATGTGGACCTAGCAGGGGAAATACCTGGTCCATAGTGTCCGCCGTAAGATTCGGTGAACAGGCCGAAATCTCGGGACTCGTACTGAGGGAACTGGGCGAAGAAGGCTTGGAGAAAGGTCCAGACATAGGGAGCAGCTGTCACGGTCGATGTCACGGGGTCCTTGCCGTACGAGAACCCGGTGCCGATGGGCTGATCTATGTACAGCATGTTGGCGTATTCATTCCAGCTGTAAGGATTTAGTGATGGTGTTGACGAGCCGTTGACAAAATGACACGGTCCGTTTTCCTATTATTGTGAGTAGACGTTCCAATTAGATATATACGCAGAAGTGATACCTGGAACAAGCCAATCATGGACGAACAGCCAGGTCCACCATTCAAGAAGGTCGCCAGCGGTGCAGTCGAAGCATTGTTCCGAGCCTCGAAAAACCAGAACCACATGTTTTCGTCGCCTGCCTATGATTCAGTACCAATACATCGGGGTTGATGGGGGCAACTCACTGCCAACGGAGAGATATCCGGAATACTGGTTGACGCCGGGCGTCGTCTCACAGATGCCCGAGTTGGTCACGAAATCCATCTTGGCGCCCGTGGCCTCGTGCTCAAAGACCGTCCGCTTTATACCATCACGGCTATAGAAAGAGCGTTTGCCTCTAATGTGAGCGGGCACATCATCTCTGTTCTCGACGGAAGACGGCAAGGCCGCTGCCAATGAAGGCAGCACGACGCTCGCCGCAAGATATCCGGCTTGGAAACGCATCTTGACTGCACTGATCGATCTGAGTATCGTCAACGTTGGAGTCGATGCTACACAACACGTATACGGGCCACTGGAGTGTATTTATGTGTTTTTGTGCTCCCCGTCTTGTGCCCCGCGGGATCTTCACGGCAACGGGGTAACCGCGATGGTAGCCTGAATACCGAGCGGACGAGGTTCTGCATCGAGAAGGTCTGTAGAACAATTGAAAGCTTCGATCTGCGCCGGCACCATGGACCGTTGGGGTATACATTGGCCGATAAGAGAAGAAGGGAATGCCGTGCAGTACCGGTGGCCTACTGTGTGGGGCGCTTAAGCTTAAGTTGAGCTGCCCCCGGCATTAATTCCCGCGTAAGGCAGCTGGTGGGCTTAAGAAGACGATTGAGAACTAAAGAGACGAATAGTAAAAGCCGGAGGACTCCGTACTGTGTGGACACTGTGGGTATAGTTACGACCTTCCTTTCCAGGCCGATCACAAGCTTTCATGCCAGACGAGGGGCTTCCCGAGGGATACTGGCGGACTCTAGACGCATCATAACGATTGATGATAGTCGTTGGAGAGGATGAAGGATTTGGGCGCTGCTGGGGTGGTGGAAGCTGGTCCAACTTGAGAGTGTTGTGGGCGGTAAAAATAGAAGACCCTGGTAAATTCGGTATCGACGATCATATTGTCATCGACAAGAGAAGGGAGGAAAGACGGCTTTCTCTGCACTATACCATTAATATTAACCTCACTTCACAAAACAAGGCAAGGAGTTTTCAAAAGATTCCGTCTGACGAACTTTGAAGAAGATCAAAAGCCTCAATTCTCATCACTCAATAGGATCAAAAGGATCGGCGCATGCGCCACACGGCCAAGAGCAGGCATCCCATTCCTTTGGAAAGGCATTCACGCTTTCCCTTGCCGCATATTCCTATGCGGACTTCTTGGGACTTGCATCTTCATTTTTTTCATCTTCATTTTTATATCCAATCCATGCACTTATCAGCAAGACGTAAGGCACTGTAAAGCCAGAGCCCTGAGGTCGCATGCTGACTTCATCGCATATATACACCATTAGCGATCATCATTCTTCCCCCGCCACAGCCAGTGCTGCGTTCGCAGTATATCTGTCCAGTCCGTCCAACGCCGAGGGGTATATCAATCAAGGAAAAGTCGTTTTTTTTTGGGTGCTGAAGCCAGGAGTGGGTATAATGAACAGTCCGCGGACTATTCGCCGTGGTCATGATCCCGATTATAGCTTAGTATATTCGAGCTCTTCGTCGAAGGTGCTAACACAGAGGAACTGCACGACCTTTGGAAATTTATAGGGGCCATCTGCCCTTCTGTCAAGCAGAAACCCCTTCGATAGTATTCTTAATCTCGAGGCTTAGAAATTCCGGGATGCCTCGACCGGATCCGACCGTCCATTTATCCTCGTCGCGCTCGCGTTCGCATTCATATACGCGGCATTGTTGGTCTCCTGCATTTCCTCACTATATCCCGCAGGTCTGCTCTCCTCGTCCTCTACCGCGGTTACCATGTCGAGCTCCATCGCCTTATTCTTGTAATGCTTCGTGCGAACGGCCGGGATAAAATCGATCGCGAAACTCCATACGTAAAACGTATATATGAAAGAGATTATCCATTCGATAACGGCCGCCCTATTGTAGTGGTTTTTATCGCTGAGTACTCCGAATGCGATTGCCAAAGACAACTCAACCAAGATGAACATCAACTTGATCCAGAACGAGACGCGTAGGATACGGAAATGCCTGTGGTGGATGCCAAGGCGATAGTATTCCCAGCAGATGAAAATCGCGGACACGATGTACCCCGCGCTAGAAAACTTTGGTCAGCATTGTACCGCAGACTAGTTGGGAGAGGAACCTACATGAAAATTACCAGGCACGCGTCGTGCGCGTGGTGATGATGCAAGTTATTCAAGCAGGTAAGGATGATCAGGCCAATGGCCCCAACGGTAGCCGCAATGATCGAACATATCGACAATCCTTTCTGGAACCAAGATGTGTTTACTGCCAACGTTCCCCGGTGTCGAAGCCAGCGTTCGGCCACGAAGACGAAGTTGAAGGTAACAACAGTGACGGTCCCCATAGCAATGAATAGAGGCTGCAGAGAGTGCGCTCCAATATCCGAAATGTAGCTGTTGCCTTGATTAGCAAGAGAGATCTCAAACTTCCATGCATGTAGGAAAGGAGAGCCTTACGCGATAGTCTGGCCAGGATCCATGGGCGTGAGATGTGGTGAGTGCTGCTCGACGGACCACCAAAGAAGCATTCCCAACAGCATCGCGAGCCACACACAGCCCGAGAAGATGGGAATCATCCAGTAGATATGAGCCAAAGGACGCGCCATCTTTGAATCGCAGAGCGGAGGAGAAGCAGGAGCGAAGAATGGGAGACTGAGTGAAGCCCCCGAGCCTCGAATGCGAAGGCTTCTGCGGTTGGGGCAGAGAACGGGGGGATTGACCGGCGAGAACGAGGACGAGAACGAAGCAAAAAAACAAAAAAAAGAAGAATCCGAATTATGAATGTGAATGGGGATCTGAAGTTGCAGAAGATAAGAAAATTGAGAAACGCGACGGGCAGCGAGTGTAGTGAAGTCAATAGACCGAATTAGTAGTGAAAACCTGGAAAACCTTACTGCTCCAAGAACCTAACCTGCCTTAACACCGATTGACCCGCAACTCCGCGACGCTCGACGTCATGGCGAGCAGCGCTCCGGTCAACCCGGCACTTGATTTGCTCGAGTCTCCTGTGCAGCCGACCAGCCTAGTATGAACCAGCGGGGAATCCGTGATTGTTCCTGGGGAAGAATACCGATAGTACAGCAACGCGGCCATATCACGACAAAAGAGTCGGGTCCCTACGACGTTGAGATGAAGAGTGTGTTCGATGGAGGTTGAGAGAGGCTGAATGTGTCCATGCCTGAGGCTTGAATCGACTGTCCTCATGAGGTTAGTCAAAACTTGAAAGCCTCCACTACGCTATTGATAAACAGACGGGCAGATATCTATATCCACACCTCAGCCTCCTTTTAACCAAGCGACGTGGTCCGTGCCGACTCGTCATCTCCCCCTGTCTAGGAATACTTTATTCTTCGATAATACTACCCGCAACAGTAATACAATAGGGCAACGAGTAAGGAAGTGTATTGAACTAGTGATGTCTTTAAAATAGCGATATTTCATTTCATTTCGTTTTGTTGATATTGAGCTATCGCGCTGACAATCGCAATCTGTTGCTTTAGCGCTCCAGATGAAGCAAGGCTCAGGGTCCCGGCGGTGTAATTTGTAGTCTTTGCGAAGGGAGTGCATCAGATCGAATATTTATGCTTAATTAGCAATGTAGCCAAGTTCTACGTCCGAAGATAAAGTAGATGCACCCAGAAGGAAGTTTTCATGGATTGTGCATGAGGAAACCTGCGATTGTAGTATCGTATAATCTAGTACTAGAGCCCTTTAATTAGCAAACTCGGTTTATATTCCCCACATTTCCAACCACGAAAAGCTTGCACGTTGCACTTTGGCTTCTCTTTAACTTAATCCACCTACTCCCAGCCGGACTTCAATACTGCTTTTTGAAATGCTTGTTGATTGTACCGGAATACTTCAAGTGAAACTCCCTCTACGTGTATGATCCTGTGACCACGACCGGTGCCCAAGGCACCCTGAAGATTTTGAAGAGATCGCACAAATGTGACAAATCTAGTTATCCAAAGCCTCCCAAGGTGGAAGTTTAAGCCAACTTGACTTCGGTACATCTCTAAGCAGACTGCAGCATTTAGGAGTTTTCTATGAGCTTATGTTATAAGGACGACCTGGTATTTATCTAGTGATTTGATCAAGACGCCATTTTTGATTATCTATATCATTTGATGGGTATTAGCCAACCAGTTTACATTTCTGTTCCGTCTTTGCTTTAGCTCTCTTGCTCTTGCATATGCTGTTTCCATCGTCTTTGAATAGCACAACGTCGATGCAATAAGCCGAGTTGCTGCAGTATTTTTATTCTGCCACCATGATGGGAATAGCTATCTATTGTGCTAAGCGGAGGCCATCACTCCGCGAATCGATCATCTCCTTTTTCAAGGGGACGGCTACCATGTAGAGAGAGCCACGCAGAAGTTTGAGCTGCTCTGGGTCGCTGTGGGCGAGAAAAGGGAGTGGAATTAATGCCAAGGACGTTCCTAACTACCCAAATTGCAACATAGGCCTCCTCTGTCCTAGTGTTGTCTAGTTCAGTGATTCAGTGAATCACTTCCCTCCGACACAATCTCTGAAGTTACTACTTGTAAGTAATCACTTGCTTTCAGCTGCTCCTTGTTGACCTAGTCTGCTACAGCAACATCTTCACTCTCTTTACTCAGCTAACGCCCCTAAGTTTTTCAAATTCTCCATTGAGACAACCGTGTCAGGATGCCCAGGCCCCAGTACTTTCTCTCTTCCCATCGCTGCTCTCTGGTACATATCTTTGGCCATCTTCCGCTTCTCCTGTGCTTCGAACAGCACGCCCATGTTGTGAACGGTTTCTAGCGTATCGGGATGGTCGACGCCCTGCACCCCCTCAAACGCACTTAGCGCCGCACGAAACCTGCTCTCTGCTTCTTCGTATTTTTTCTGATATATGCATGCGAGTGCAAGATTCTGGAGTGTCGACAGCGTACTTGGATGCTCCGGCCCAAGCTGCGCGGTCTTGCGGTCCAGCACCCACCTGAACCGGTTCTCAGCTTCGTCGTACCGCCCTTGTTTCGTACACAGCTGGGCAAGATTGTGCTCCGAGCCTAGAGTACTTGGATGCTCATCGCCGAGTACTTGACGATAACCGAAGATGGTGCGTAAATACATGCTCTCTGCTTCGAAATATTTGGCTTGCTTAGTGAGAATGTTTGCAAGGTTTCTGGAAGTACGAAGCGTGTCGGGATGGTCGCGGCCAAGCTTCACCTGCTGCCTGTGCAATGTGGTTCGATACATTTCTTCTGATTTTGCATAGAGCCCCTGTTTGCTGACCACGACAGCGAGAAGTTGGACTGTCTTTAATGTGTCCGGGTGCGATTCCCCGAATTGTGCCTCTTGCTCTTTGAGGAGCTCTACGTAGCAAGACGCACCCTCTTCGTATCGCCCTTGCTTCTCATATAGCATTGCTAGGTTTTGCTTAGTCCGAAGATAATAGTTTGAATTCGGATCCTCATGATCGTTTATTTTGTCGAGATTTGTGAGTACGTCTTGGTATAGCTTCTCAGCCTCGGCGTAACGTCCTTGTTCGATATGTGCATCGGCGAGATGGCTCTGTGCCTGAAGGGTTCTCATATATTTTGGTCCGTCGTGTTCCTCTGAATATTCCAATACCTGCTTCTGCGTTCTCTCTGCATTCTCATATTTGCCCTGCTTGAAATATACAATGCCCAGTTTTTGCATTATATCGAGTGTACGAAAATCCTTAGATCCGTACTTCCTGCGTCGACGCTCAAGCAGCTGATTATAGGACGATTCGCTTCCTGAGAGTTCCATTCTGGCGAGCTGGAATGCAGCTACTTTTGCGGTAAGAGTATCGACTGTATCAGTATAGCCCCTCTCCCCAAGCTCCAAGTTGAACTGTAAGACGGCTTGTGCGTGGCGTAGGTAGGCAGCACATGTATTCCATTCCTTATACACATCCTCGGGGAATTTATCACAGACTTGCTTGAGAGCTGCGGTTGACCAGGTATGTGTGTCTGCTGATATAGACAAGATCTTGTCACCAACTATATATCGACCTAATCGCTTCAGCCATGGTTCTGGTGACGGGCGAGTTGCAAGGCGACGGCGTATGATCAAATTCACAAGACGGTGCATATTATAGCTATCCTTCATAATCCCAGGCCACGATTCCTCGTGGTTGGGATCTCCGCTCTTGGTCTTTTTGCTGGCCACCACAAACGAGTATGCCATTAATTTCCCTATGGAATCTGTGAAATGCTTGGTCGTCTCACCGTCCCGTATCAGAAGTGAGGCTGGGATTTCCTTTATATCATAGAATGCCATGACAAAAAGCATCTCAGCAGCGTCAGGCCTTGTCTTTTCAATTTCGTCGAAAGAGATCATCCAAGTGGTGGCCACTGCTGTGGTGCGTGGATTGCGGTCATCCGTCTCAAGTGGTTCGCTGAGCAGATCAACAGCCGCTTGCTCATTCTCGTGGTAGATTTCAAGATATCTCTCAATCGTGATTGACTTTTGGGCGATGTAAGTTGCGGCTTGCACAAGTGCCAAGGGCAGATGCTCGAGGTCGTCCGCCAATCGAGACGCATCTCTAGAAACAGCTGGATCGTCTAAATCATGATCCTTCAAATAGCTTCGGATAAGAGTCCTGGATTCTGCTGGTGTCATCCTGTCCACGTTGATGATACCACAGGTCGTTGCGAATTTAGCAGCCGCATCAATGTTTCTTGTCGTCACCAGCATGAAGCCGTGAGCGCATTTTGGAAGATACTCGCTTAGCCGAGTCATCGTAGGCTGGAGCCGACCATATCCCATGGTTGTCGCCGGTGGGTTCTCGAAAAAGTCCTCATAGCTATCCGCATTATCGACAACAAGGAGCCAATTCCCATTCCCTTGCTCCTCCAGCCATTTCTTCACCAAAGGCAGCGGATCAGACTCTCTGCCTTGGTAGCCGGGTAGCTTGCACGATTCCGCGATGGAATGATAAGCATCTAAAAACCGCGCTCTGCTATAAGCATGCACCCAAAAGATAGCTCTCTCAGGATGCTTTTCCCTACACCAGTAAACATATTTCAAGGCAAGTTGAGTCTTCCTTGAGTAACGTTAGCCACATTAAAAATGTCGATAATCATATTTCAGATCTCACCCAATTCCACCCAGACCATACAGCGCTGCTTTACCATCCACTCGGCCTGTCTGTTCTTCTTCGCCCATCTGCAGCATCAGCTTCTGAAATACGTCTTTTCGGCTCACGAAGTCGTGATTTTCGGCGTAAGAGCAAACGACTGGTCATTTTTCTTTAATATCGGGGTCTAATCGAGCTAAGGTTTCTTACATACATGGAGAACGAGTAGGCATATTGCTCAGAGTCAACGAAGCAATTGGCTCGGACAGTTTATCAAGCCTTTCTCTTGTCTCGACGGCCTTCAGGGCACTGTCCGCTATGTGTGCTATGTTTTCTATCACTTGCTCATAAGCTTCGTCATCGATGGACTCAAATTTGCAGATTGTGCTGTGATTTCCTTCGATTCCTATCTGCTCCTCCCTGGTCCCGCCCAAGCCTAAAGTTGCAGACTTCTTATCCACAATCTACGACGGTCAGTCTGTTTGTGATTCTTTTCCCATGGTACTGGCCCGCTTACCAAGCCCATCTTGTTAAATGGTAGCGTTTCAAAGAATGAGAGTATGTAAAAATTCTCAATACAGTGCCGGAAATTATTATTGAGCTCGTCGCCAAATAGGGAGTCCTTTTCTAGGCTTTGTAGGAAGTTGTTCTCAGGGTTGCGAAGCAAGGCTCTCGCAACATTCGACGCTATCTGTGCTAGTGGCACAAAGTTTCCCCCGTTGTGTGGAGTAGCGAAGAAGACGATACCGTAAGTCGCGTTGCGAATGGACTCATATTTGGCATTAAGATGGGCCGTGACCATGGCCTGGGTAAATCAATCAGACATATGGTATGGTAAATACCAAGAGCCATGAATAACAGAGCCCACATGTTGGGAACCAAGTATGGAGATGATACACACTTGCTTCACAACTATCCCGCCCAAGCTATGGCAGATAAAAATAATGGGTCGATTGGAGACAGAATCCTAGAATTGAGATCAGCCAAGAGTCTCTCCAGTACAGTTGCCAACATACTGGTCTCTTCGCCCATAGGCGGTTAAGAAGATTATCTCCTGATTCTTCGACTCCCATGATGGAGTTCCCGAACGCAACATTTGCATTATACCCGTATAGCATAACTCTTGCTGATGGTATCCTAGAAGGTAAGAAGTCTTTCAGCCACAAACTCTGCGATTTGGGCGCCGTCCATGTTTGAAAGGCATGATTTTCGTTGTTGGTTGGGTTTAGGCCGTGAACCGCGACGATGCTGGAAAAAGTCAGCTATGCGTCTATAAAGATATGTGCATGAAATCTTACTCCAGCAATGCATCTGGTGGGTCAACAAGGACTTTGAAAAGATTCTGGGAGGGCGAAGATGAAGACATTAGCCTACTGAAAGCTAGAATTTGATCAGGGTCTCTTTATTGTCATCTGGGCTATTGCAGAGGTGACTCAGGTGAGGTCCTTGGTTCATCAATTGTAGGAGCGTCCACTGAGCATAACATAGGCAAATTGAGTGGGACCATCCTTTTCCCTGAACAAGAGGAGTATCAGCCTTCCACTGGTCATCAACTTGTGCCGCCCACACTCGTGCCGCACCCCCGCAGCTGAAGATTGGTTCAGGGCATATATGTGTACGGTGACGTGGCAGTCAACACTGTAGACATCTATCCAATTGCTCTACCCTGTAGGTATTAGTACCCCTACCGGCGCATGAGAGTCAAAAAAGAGCGAGTTGCCTCGGAACCTGGCTTCAAGTACCAGGTGGTATTCAGACGTTGCAGTCACTCAAATAAGTTGAAATAACTGTCTAATGTGTATAACTAAGGTAATTAAACTACTATAATTTCTATCTCTTTAGAATCATTGTAGCCCTGGTTTGTGTATAGTATAGTCATGTAGTTGTCAAATTTGAGTATAAGTCGCTGAGGCTTGCAACTTTGTCAATCAGAGTTTCCAAACAATATGTTAGCTGAGAAGTTCCAGTTGAATACACGCATTGCATCTGCGCAACCGCAAGGTCAGATCAAGATCTCTTATCAACAGTATACCAACTAGTTGCTCTGCAAGACGACCCCAAAGCCTGTGATAACTACCAGCTCCAGTGGAATCAAGGCAACATTGGCGCTGCGCAACGGAATGCCAGCGGATTACCCCGTCCATTAGTAGCTTGACGGTTTCTGGGTAGGTAATGAGTTCGAGCCCATTAATATCTTGGCTTGTAAATCATCATCTCCTACTCGAAAGTTAGGTTTAGGGAAGCCGTGTCTATCCAGATGGCGTACTCGTATTGTCTACATATAATTCGACGAGGTCTACGCTTCTTGTATCATTCGTCCCTCCGCCAATATTCCCCAAGTCGGCAAGTTCATATCTGATAGAAGGAGTATAAGATCGGATTTCTAAAGAAATTGTAAATTAGCTCATGGCCACTTAATAAATGGAAGACTCTCTTACCACAATTGCGAAAGACTTTCGTAGGGAATGGATCGAGGTAACGGAGAAGACCTCGATGAGTAACAACAACTATATTTGAATAGTATTGTAAATAATGACTTAACCTGTCGAGCACTTTTATGGCGCGACGGCACGTCTCAGCTTCTGTACACGGCTCATACCGTCCGCTAGGTGAGCACTCAGAGAAATCAAAGTCTGTATATTTAGACGCGAGAATGCTCCTCGATGAACCTTGGTTATAGGCATGGTCATGAGCCGGTCGCAGTTCCGGATCGATAATTATCGTTGGGCGGGAATGATCGAGCATCAGGAGTACAGTATCAAGTGCTCGTATCATGGGAGATACAAGGACCAGATCCGGTGTAAAAGAGAGGCCCACCAAGCTTGCCTCCTGCCGCCCTCTGTCGGATAGTGGCGGGTCATTGTGTTCATAGATTCGGTTTTCACCCTCTTCAACACTACATAAATCAGATAAAACATGGCAAGGTGGTAAAGGGCTGCCTACTTGTGGAGAGCCTCTGCGTGACGCATGAAATGAAGAGCCATAATTGTCAGTGCCAGGTTTGAACAACTAAAACCTCACTCCCTTTGGCCGCGATATAAGTCTTATTTGAGGTCTAGTTATCACTCAGGCCCGGGTTCTATCATTCATATTCAAGTACTTGAGGCAGCGAAAATGGATGGCAGCATTTGGGAAGTGTCTCCTGCAGCTTGCACTGCTTCTCAGCTTGATTCGATCTCTCTTTCAACGTGCAGTCACACATTACGTGCATAATCTCTATCTCGGTGAGCAGATCTGTCTTGCCAGTGCGCCTCAATCCTCCCGTCAAGAACTAATATCCGGGGCGTAAATCATGCATAGGTACCCAATGTTGCACAAGCCTTGGCGTGTGAAGGATTGAAACTGCAACAATCTCTAAGGAGAGTTTTGAGCCACCTCTTGACATGGATTGACAGCCAGTTGTAGCCAAGAGGCTTGAAGATTGACAAGGGTATCACGGCTGCGAGATCCCTCATACCCTACCTCTGTTCGTGACTACCAGGCCGCCTTGGATCTTGTATGGTACCACGTGTAAAGAGTATCCACCCTCCACTGCTGCGAACACCATGCAGATAGGATCAGATACGCGCCGAGTGTGGGGGCTTTTGGACCCTAGGTGCAGTATTCAAATTCAGAGCCGCATCGTAGCCTCGTAGGTATGATAGCTAGAGTTCTCAAATAACCGCGCCCCAGTGTTTCAAAAGCGGCTATCCTGTTTTCTCGCTCAGCAAAGAACCTGATTGCATTCTCTCTTGGGATATAAATTTCTCTTTCATTGGAGCAAATGCCCTTTTGGCGCAATGGCTCACAATAGCGAAAGTAGTAACAATGGTCACTATAACTCTCCTCAAGCCGCCTCATTCAACAACAACCTAAGCCGCCAAGCGGCCAAGGGCAAGCTTTGTACCGCAAGTTCACTTCTCCTTTCTCCCTTCTTCGTAACGTCAGTCATGGTTTAAAGTACGCAGGCGCTGGGTCTATCAGTGGCTTACAGTATTTATCAGTCCTTAGGTGTGCGGCTTATATCTGGAGTCGAAATTGTTGAGATAGCTTGCAAAGCCGGCTTCGACTCCCTCTTCATCGATCTCGAGCACTCCACTCTCTCACTCGAAGCCACTGGACAGATATGTCGAGCCTCAAAAATGGCAGGAATCTCGGCATTTATTCGCGTTCCTGCAGAATGCGGTGATGGTTACGTACAACGGGCACTGGGAAGCGGCGGCGACGGCATCATTGTACCGCACGTTCAGACGGTTGGTATGACTCCTAGATGCTTCGTTCCGAGCGAGTCTAATGATGTACTCATAGAAGATGTACGCACTGCTATTGCCATGGCTAAATACCCACCGCTGGGTTCCCGCTCCATTACTCCTCATCTTCTGATCTCAAGATCCGCCAAAAGTCCTCTAAGAGCGGCAGAGGTCTTGAAGGAGCATGAGGTGATCTTGATGGTAATGATCGAGACGGTGGAGGCTCTTTCAAACATTGATGCCATTGCGGCTGAACCTGGTCTGGACGTCTTGCAGATTGGTTCAATGGATATGAGTATGAGCCTGGGAATTCTGGGTCAATGGGACGACCCGTTGTATCAGGATGTTCTGATTACGGTGTCAAGGGCTGCAAAGAAACACGGGAAACTGTGGGGGATCTCTGGACTGCCTTCACGAGCAGACATATGGAACTACGCAGCGGTCGAGCTTGGAGCTAGCTTCATTGTTAGTTCATACGATGTCAACTTATTAAATCAAGCTGCTGCTGCAAACTACAAGCTCATTAGAGAGGCGGGCGGAGGCGCTAGTTAAAACAATATGTATGCCCCTATACTACTTATAGCCTTATAAGTTATAGGCTCTGAGCCCAAATGTCGACGGTACATTTCTCACTCTGAAACTCCTCCATCCCTCTTCATATATTCCACTTTCATATACTCATTCACCCATCCCCAAACCTAGCTAACGACGCCTAGGCATCTCACCATGAGCTAATCACCTGCTATAACAGCTCAAGCTCCTTTATGGCTCGTTCTAAGATCCCTGGGATGAATGTCAGCTGGGCTATTCCAAGAGCAGGATGAGAAAGAGACCTCATGCCGCGTCGCCGGAATGCGAATTGAGAGTCGTCAGTTATGTGCTAGACCGCTCGATCTATTAGAGATGATTCCGCGCTTGTAGGAAGATTTTCGAAGTTCTTCTTGATTGATTGATTGATTGTTGAGTCCGTCGATGCGGTACCTAGGGAATTGCATTTAATACCCCGCCCTGCCTGGCGGCTGCCACGTCTCTCATCCGTATCCTACTCCTCAGTTCTGCCGCCTGCGCTCCGACAAGACGAGAAAAAGAGATCTGCTTCTCGTAAAATCGTCCCGAAGATCTAGGGCGACGCTGTTCCTTGTGCCTAGTAGTCCTCTAACCACGACAATCCTCTCTACAGTCCGATTGCTAAGCTCGGCCTTGTAGTCTATAAGTAGACGTATGGAACTCGCGCCATTAGTACTCCCTAGGATGGCATAAAAGCCGTCGTCTTCCTTAGTATATACAAGATAACTAGTCGAAGGATCCTCAACAAGGCTAGTCGATCTTCTGGCGGCATACCATATAGCCCTTCGGGCAGAAAGGTTGATGACAGCGGTCCTTGCTATAATCCGAAGACTCGAGGGGTCGAAGGTAGGGAATATATCTCCGGCCAAGACCTAGGACTGCCATACGGCCTTGGAAGGCCAAAGTCGCTAGGCTCTGGGTTCAAGCCGCATGCTTTGGAACTCAACCGGTTAAAGAAATCATACTCCTTTACTGCAAAGGAGTATAGGAGGAGTTCTTGTACCAATATAGTGTTTGGTCGACGGCTTTGTTATTACCGATCTTGTCGGCCATGGGCCGGAGGATCCGACCTTGCGCGCTCATAGTGATAATAGTGATAATAGTGATAATAATGATAATAACGAGTCTATCTCGTACGTATCTTGGGCATCTATAGTGTTAGAGGGGCGGTGGACGGACGGAGCCCGTATTGATTTGATGTACGGACGGTGCCAGGCAGGTTAAGCGGGCCCGGTTAATGTCGCGGCTAGGGGTGGCGAGAGCGAAAGCGCGGCGTTATTTAGTAGTATAGTACTATCTATAGTGCTAACTCATAGTCTTCAGTCCAACCTCAATATCACCATCTTATACACTATCTACACATGTTCAGTATCTCAGCTTTCCTTACATTCGTGCTAATGTTTTTGAGGCAGGGTTTCCTTTCACATCCTTCATCTGGACAACCTCCAGACAGAAGCCTAGGACATCACGGGTATCTCGGGGATCAATAATGCCATCGTCGAGCAGATGCGCCGACGTCCAATAGGCCCCTGAATCTCGCTGAACACTCTCGCGGAACTTTTGAACACGTGCCTGGAGCTTTGCCTCGTCCAGCGTGGCACCAGACTTCTTGGCTGAAGCGCGCGTAATTTCCTGCATCACTCCAGAGAGCTGGTCTGGTCCCATAACGGAACAACGACCTGTGATCCAGGTGAAGAGAAATCGCGGCTTATACGCTCGGCCGCTGTTACGAATTAGCCCGGGAATGCTCTATACTTGGTATTCAAGGGAGATTCCTGGCCAGGCTTACCACATAGCATAATTCCCAGCACCGTACGACGCACCGCAGATGATACTGATATGCGGAACAGTGCTGGTGGAAAGAGCACTGATTAGCTGTGCCCCTAGCTTGATGAGGCCGGCTTGTTCAGTTTGGAGGCCAACCATAAATCCGGAAACGTTGTGAAGGAAGACGATTGGGATATTCCTAAGAAAGCCGACAGACGTTAGAGAAGAATATGTAACGCTGGACAGAATGCCTACCCTTGGTTGCATAATCGAATGAACTGCGTGGTCTTGTTTGCTTCGTGGGGATTGATCACCGATTGTTGATTTGCGATAATCCCACATATACTTCCTATTAGTTCGGATTAACGTGATTCTCCACGTTTTGGAGCAAGATGAAGCGCACCATGAATATACGCCCACGCTGTCAGCATATTCGTTCCATATGCAGGTTTGAAAATCTCAACTCGCCCACCATCCACTATCCTTAACACCACTTCCATCATGTTCAATGGTTGTCGAATATCGGGATTCACAAATGACAACAGGTCCTCTGCAGGGTACTTTGGTGGGGTTACTTGGCGCGGCATAGCACGTTGCCCATACAAAGGGGACCTTGCAGCAGCCGTAGTTAACACCCAGGTTCGAGCTTTATTGATGGCATCGAATCTGCGCCCCAGAGTTAATACCTTTCTCAAGACTCCCGAATAGGTCACTTCACTCACTCATCCGAGGCCAATTGATCTGCAAGTCCAGTCGTCTTCGCATGCATCGCAGCCCCTCCTAGCTCCTCTGCTTCACATATTTCACCAGTTGCCATCTTCACCAACGGAGGTCCACCCAGGAAAACTTGCGCTTGGTCTTTCACGAAAATCGTATAATCTGAGAGTGCCGGATGATAGGCACCTCCAGCGGTGGATGATCCAAATACGACGGCACATGAGGATAATCCTAGGCTGGAACGGACTGCCAAATCCCTAAATATCTGGCCCCCGGGGTGAAATACGCGGAATTGATATGGAAGGAAGACGCCTGCCTGGGGGGTTTTGTCAGTAATGCTAAAGGATACCCCCAGAAAACAAACGGGGGGCTACGTACCGATTGGACAAGAGCGATAATTGGAAGCCCGTTTTCTGTAGCAATTTCGGTGATTCTATTTTGTTTTCGTACTTGAAAGCAAATCGTCAACTTCCACGTGATCAATACAGGAATGGGTTACTACCTGTGTATTCATTCCATGCCCCTCCACTGATGGATGGAATGTGTGCAAATATCATGCAGCAGACACCACTTCAGAAGATCAGCTTAGTGCATGACCAAGTTTTGTGCAGTGTGCGAGATGCTCACCATACCATCCCAATACCAGCTACTACGCTTGCTGACGCTGTGGAATCTTCAAGTTGGTGACCGGCAAATGGCGCGAGCTCAAGGAACGGCGAGTCTTCGTCAAGGAGCAGAGCGACTCTATCTCTTGCAAGTAACTGCCCTCGCCCAACATGGCTTTTCTGCGCCGTTTCAGAGCCCTGAGAGCTTGCTGTGGCTAGAGCTTTGCCATGATCGGCGAGGATTTTATCCCACTGATTGCGCAAATCTGCGGCATGCGGCAAGTTCAGGTTGATGGCAGAGGTATGCTCAGGAAAAGACATGAAATCCAGGGATATGGAAGCCATGAGGAGAGACGTGGTGGAATTAGGGTGCACTCAGGTCACTTGTTTGGATAATCTTATCGTATCCCACTACATACAATACCAGCTGGAAACTATTCTGGGGAATGTTAAAACACCCGCGTGCCGTCCTGGGGTGAAGCTGGGGGGATGGGTGAGCCCGCGGACGGAACACGGTCCGGTACTGGCTACCGTCTGGATCCGTACGGAAACGAGCCGGGCCAGCAACAAACAGCGGGGAATAAAAATATTGGGCAGAAAAAGGATGGAAATAATCCAAAGAGAGTCACGGTTTATGTCTCGAAAGTTGAATTTATTTCTCAATATACGGCCAAAATGACAGTGCACCGCGCAAAGCAGATTTTGTCGCATCTCAGTACTCCGCGTTCAAATTCAAATGAACCCTCATCAACATCACCCTCAACAAGCGAGCTATCTATACTCTCAGGTCCAAAAGATGTGCCTCTCTGGGAGATACCATTTGGTAAATTGTTGGACCAGCGAGTTGCTCTAGATGGTGGAAATCGTGATTGTTGCGTCTCACCGGCGACGAACGGCCGCTGGACATATGCGCAGTTACAGGAACGGAGTAGACATCTTGCACGCGGTCTGATGGCGTTGGGAATACAAAAAGGGGATCATATCGGTATATTGGCGGGCAATTGTGAGCGTTATGTAGAGTGAGATTACCCTAGCCAGTGGATGGTTCAGTACTGTGGACTCGCTGACTTATTTCTCACACTTAGACTTTTCTGTGCTTGTGGAAGGCTCGGTGCTGTTCTGGTTGTCCTAAGTATGTTACCAATGAGCTGTGTCTATACGTTACTTCTTCTCGATCGAGTCCTCAGGAGTTCGAGGCTGACAGCATCTCCTAGATTGCACATACACGGTGCCCGAGGCCGAAAGAGCACTTGCTTTTGCTGGTAAGTTGCAACTTAGAGCTCGCTCCGCTTGGATAGTTACTGAAATCTCTAGACTGCAAGATTCTGTTCACTTCATACACAATCGGAAAAAATAATAATGCAGCACTCATTAATAGTCTTCACTCCAGGCTGACGTCCGGATCGTGTAACATTACTGCTGATCAGAAATTGATATTAAGGCACATCTGCTTAATTCGAGAGCCTAAGAGCGAAGATGTCACATCCCCGTTATCTGGATTAATCTCGTATGAGGAAATCTTAAAGATGGCATCAACAATACCCGAGACAAAACTTTCAGCCATAGAAGCAACAGTGAGCTGTCACGATGTTTTCAATATACAGTTTACGAGCGGGACAACGGGCGCTCCCAAAGCTGCCATGCTCACACATCACAACATCATAAACAATGGACAGGCCATAGGGGATCGCATGAGACTGACCCAAGAGGATATTCTGTGCTGCCCCCCGCCGCTGTTTCATTGCTTTGGTCTTGTCCTTGGACTGCTTGCTTGCATCACGCATGGATCGAGTATCGTATTCCCCAGTCCAACATTCAGCCCAGCAGCAACGCTACAAGCCATAACTCAGGAGAATTGCACAGCAGTTCATGGTGTGCCAGCAATGTTCGCAGCTGAATTGCAACTGGCGCGGCCATCTGATTTTGGATCCACGAGACTGCGAACGGGTATCGCTGCCGGGTCACCTGTCCCGCCCGCGCTGATGAAAGATATCCAGCAGATTTTCCGCATGAATGGACTCACGAATACCTACGGTATGCAAACCCCTGAACTCTTTCTTTCCGCGCAAATTTCTGAGTCTTGAAATCCAGGCATGACGGAGACATCGCCGGCGAGCTTCATGACCTCCATAACGGATCCGGTGGAGACACGATTGAACACGGTGGGAACCATATTACCTCATGTTAGCGCGAAGGTCATCGACGAGAACGGAAACATCGTGAAGAGAGGAGTGCCTGGCGAGCTCTGCGTCGCGGGTTACCTGTTATGCAAGGGCTACTACCGGGATGAAGAAAACACAAAGGCGGCAATGCGGCGAGATGAGAATGGGGTGCTCTGGATGCATACTGGAGATCAGGTCACTATCGACACCGATGGATACTGTCGGGTGACAGGACGCATAAAGGACATTATCATCAGAGGTTTGTCTTCCACATAAGTTTCCTATAACGAAACTGAGACGAGGCTGATATCATTGCAGGTGGGGAGAATATTGCTCCACAGGAGATCGAGAACCATTTGCTAGAACATCCCTCAATTATTCAAGCCAGCGTGATTGGCGTCCAGCACGGCCGACTCGGCGAAGTAGTCGGAGCCTTCCTCGCACATCATCCTGAGAAGCCCCGACCAACGCTCGACGACATCCGCAGCCATGTGAGAGCAAAATTGGGAGCACATAAAGCCCCAGAGCATGTTTTCTGGCTTGGCGATGACGGAGTTGTGGATGCTCTGCCGGTGACAGGCAGCGGAAAGGTCAGGAAAGACCAGCTGAGAAACATAGCCAATGCTTTGGTAAAGGAGACTTGATTCTAGATAGAGAGAAAGGATATATATAGAGTAATCTAGTAGAATTAAAAAGGAGGGTAGCTAACTACCTACTTTATATACAAAAAAAAGGGAAGTACTAGATACGGGGAGAGGCGTGATATCCTCTAAATAAGGATATATATACCTAAGATCCTGGATATCTAATACTTTTAACAGAGGCTATTGAATAAAAGGGTATCGTATTAGAGTAAGGGTTAACTACCACTGTTTTATGAGACAGGGATTAGTTAGTGATTAGGGGAACATGATCCGTATCCCGGTAGGTGATTCCCCAGCTCGACAATTGCTTCTTCTGGCTTTAAAGGCCTGTCCTGGAAGAATTGTCTCATTGTCTCATCTACTCTATATAAGCATCAAGCATCAAGTAGCTCACTAATGTGAAATAATTATCTCATCAGCCCATAACCACAACTGTCAACTTGACTGTTTCGATCTTGAAGTATCTGCCAATATCTCTTGAACCGGGCTGCTACCTAGTAACCAACCTTTGGTATAATTTCCTTATACTAAAGGGCCAGGGCTTCGGCACACCTTAGAGACGTAACGAAGCTGTTGAAAGCCGCACGAGACTGACACTTTGCACAGCTTACGAACAGAAACTTGCGCGGGATCTGGTGGTCCAAAGCCGGAGAGTAAGGATCGATTATGTTTCCGAAGGACAACGACGACCACGAATGGGAGGAAAGACTGCGAGCCAAGAGAGTTGGTTCGATTGAAACATGCGAAGTGGGGCTCTCAAATGAGGGATCTGAAATAGAAGAACTCAGCCACGGCTTCCAACTACAGCTTCTAATTACGGGGTTTGATGGAGGAAGTCTGGCCGTAGCTGAGCACAGCATACGAGACGTGGCGACAGAGCTCCAAAACCTAGCAATCTGATCCTATTCTTGGATACTTTTCATTTGCTATTGCTCTATGCTCTTCCTATCATGGGTGTGCTTTGGACTCCTATCGATGTTCAACGTCCTTATGCTCCAAAGTCCCGAGCCATCGCCAAAATATAGTGCACCCGCCCAGCCTTGAGAAGGCACCTGAAATCCTTGCACGCCTGAAACCAAACCTCATACCCAGGAATATGAACCCTTCGGATTTCTCATAGCTCAACCTATACTTTGCCCTCTCTAGTCAGGGGAAGAATTGGCGGCAAGCCACGTCTCAAGCTCGGACTGAGGATAGGGAAAGACTTTGATGTTTCGGGCACCGTTTTCGATCAAAAACTGACGTCCCTCATCTTCTCCTGAGAAGACATACTGGACGGTTGGACTTTCGTGGCCAGGCGGTCCGAGTCGCAACAAACATCTCTCGGTAACCTCCTGCCATGAGTTCATTGCATGGTAGACACTGTGTGGTTTCCGCGAAATTGTACCAATCACGAGAATAGCATTTCGATACTTTCGCAGGTATAATGGGAGAGAATTCATGGTGCGGCAGCGCCAAATCAGCTCCTTCCACTCATTGCTAGGCCAGTAAACGCGCTGAATATCGGATGCTGAGAGGCTCTCGATAGCGGCATTCGGAATGCGGAGACAGATAATGACGATAGATTCGCAATTGGCGCGCCTTGTAGCATATGAAGCATGGTACACTGCCACCTGGTGGTTTGGTGTAAAGTAGAAGAGGGATCGAGTGCCACTGAAGTCGCTTGGTGGTGAGCTTAGAAGGGTGCTGATGCGATCCAAGGTACCTGCTTCGTCAAAGAGACCAGCAATGCGACCCTGATCGAGGGCCTTGAAGAGCACAGTATGTCCAGAGGCACTTGCCGAGCCCCAGATATCTGGGCCAATGCCAGGTGTATACTGTTGTTGAAAGCCGGAGACGGAACGTTGACCCTGGCTGGCTGAAGACGATGAACATGTAGCAACGTTCGGGCCACCTTGTCGTCCACCATGCCCACTTCCTCCTTGATTACCACTTCCTCCTTGATTACCACTTCCTCCTTGATTACCACCAGAATGAGTGGCAATCCGTCGCAGTTGCATATCTCGCTCACGCGACGATCTCTGAATGTCTTCGAGCCCTGCGTAGCGCATTTTGACAGTGTCGATGACCCAGTAGAGGCATGACTGTGAAAGGCGGAGATACTTAAAGCGAGGATCCATAATGGCATTCTGTACATCAACAGCAATACCAGACCCGTTCAGGCACGCTTGCCACTGCTGATCGTTGTCATCCGCAGCGTCAACCTGGTTTTCGAAGGAGCCGATGATGAAGTCTTTGAAAGTGACTACCAATCCACCATCGTCGGGATCAGTCTCGCGGCGGGGTCCCTGAGTGGGCCAGTTGATCCATCGGCTCCATAGCTCGGTAGCCTTTGCTTCAGATAGACCGACATAGACGAGAGTTTCGTATGAGATGAGGGCCACAGTATTTGGCCACAAGGGGTGGAAGGTCGTGGATCGGTCGATTGCCGGGAGTGGAGAGTCTGGAGACAGTGTCAGGAAGTTGAACGAGGGATTCATCCTCTCGCTTCTGCCACTTGTCAAACGGGAGGAAAGGACTCGATTGAAGAGCGAAGTAAGGGTCTAGAGAGACTATATATAGGTACATGAGTAGGGACCCCTTAACGGAGGGTATCATCTGACCTGGTTTTTATGTGAATATAAGCTTGGGTTGCGAGTTCAGATGTAAAAAGGGTAGAGAAAGAAGAGAGGGGAGAGAGGGAAGGAAGGCTTGAAGTGAGGATATATACCCTCTCGCTACCTAAGGTAGAGACAAACACGTGCAATCTGGAGGGTGAGTTTTCGCCGAGTAAGTCAGAACCACAAGAGAGCTGCAGCTATCAAACTGTTAGGTCAAACAAAACACTCTAAAGAAGACAAACTAAGGTCTAAGAAAGAACCTTGTGAAAGAAGAACGATTGGACGCCAATTCACTACGAGGGCAGACTCGACTGTGCCTCACTCTCGGAACCGAAGAATAAATTGAATGGATAGATCTCACAACCCTGTGAAGTAGTCCTAATTAGGCATTGAACTTGCGTCATAAGTTGGTTAATTGAAAGGTACCTTATTGTCCATGATTTCCATTTAGACCGCCTATATTTGAAGAATGACTCAACTCCCAGAAGAACCTCTATATATCGATCTATCCTGCTATGATTCTAATCACAGACCAACAAAATATAATATCCAACTAATCAGGGAGACGATTACCTGATAAGACGCAATGAAGCGACAAAAGAAGAACTCTGCAAGCTCGTATACAACTCAGCATGAGAATCCAACCAACAGCGACGGACCCCTCTTCTTCTACATGCCAGATACCATACACGGCGAGTTCTGCCAGTGGTTCCCCTCCACTTTCACCATGAGCAAGACCCAGATATCCTCACTAATCGGCGACGCCATACGCGACGCCGACGCCGAGGATAGCATCACTTTCACCTGCGCCGAACAGTTCATGATGTACTGCAAAGCCGGCCGATTCCACGACAAAGAGACGCAAAGACGAGTGCTCGCAACTACCTCGCCGAAGGAGCAGAAACGCCTAGGCAAGTTGACGGCAGGTTTCACAGACGCGAGCTGGGACGAGGTTAAGAGTGCGGTGGTTGTGGCTGGTACCATTGCAAAGTTCGGACAGAATCCAAAATTGAAGGGCAAGCTGCTTGCTACTGGTGATCGGTTGCTGGTGGAGGCAGCATCAAGGGATAGGGTATGGGGTATTGGATATACGGCCAAGCATGCCATGTCGTATCGGCAGCATTGGGGGGAGAATAGGTTGGGGAAGGCACTTATGGAGGCTAGAGAGCATCTGCGGCAGTAAGATGCGAAGAGGGATGATAACGAGATTGAATCAACGCAGCTTCTACGGACCTGAAGTTGTATGTTACCACGAGGCTGCGGCCGTTGAAAACACGAAACGGGACTTTAAAAGGAGGAGATCATGGACATTCTGATCAACGATCAATCACGCAGAGGGAATGTGGGTTGTCCAGATGTCAAACGGGAGAAAGGACTCGATTAAAGAGTGAAAGTAAGGGTCTAGAGGCTCTGTATATACATGAAAAGGTGGCAAATTGGTATAACGGATCTTCGGTAATAGAACCCTTTTACCGGGTGGCAATTGCTCAAAATATGGGTCCCTATTAAGCCTGTTCTATATGCGACACCAGACGTAGACAGACAATAGACAGACAATAGACGGATGTCTGCTAACATGTTTGTTTGTCTTGGGTTTCAATGGGTAAAGTGTGACTGATGCGGAGCGACGCGAAGCACTCAAGTTGCATCCCCCGGATCTAACCTCTACTTATGTTCGGTACGTATCCATCCATAATTCCTCCATTCATAGCCTCCGCTGATGTGCTATCAAATATGAATCGTCAGAGTTGATATGGACAGACGAGGTAATCAGTAAGTGCATCATGAAGAACGGGTGGAGCCAACACTTACTGGGCCATCAAGCAGTTGTATGATGCTTCATCACTGCACAGTTTGTACTTGGCACCAGCAGGTCGTCAGTAAGCGCACTTACGAGAGAGCATTGAGTCAGATCAACAAGATGCATCATGCATGTACTTACCATGCGAGGGATCAGAGCGTCTCCAGTCCATGGCTATGTATTAAGCAAAGTCGAGACATTTGGCAAATGCAGCTCCAGGAATATGGAATAAGCACGTAAGTGTTGAGTAGTTGTCATTCGTGTAGTCAATTGTTCTAGTCTGCAAGTCTGCAAGTCTGCAAGTCTGCAAATGCAACCGGATGAGCAGCCGGACTTAGTACTGACGTTCTCGGTCGTCAAGCAGTGGCTTGTATGGCCAATCGCCGTAACAATCCTAAATAGGCAGTCAGCAGAGTCATATTTGAGGAAGACTGGTGACAGCAAGGCAAATATACTCACCATACGAAATATTGAAGCGCCATACGTTGGTATGCTTGATGTCCTAACCCTGATAGTATGTGTAATTCAGAGAACAGGAGAGGTCAGAACTTACATATCGAGGGCATGAGGGGAGACATCGCGACTCCTGTTGGCTCTCCAGACATCCGGAGATGTGACTCTCTGGAGCTGAAGGTTCGTAGCCGGCACCAAGTACGGGTAGGAGTCGACTTCGCCGACCGCCTACCTGGGCAGAGCGACAAGTCGCCGTGCCGTCATCGGTAGACCCAGGGAATCGAGCTCCCTGGTGCCCTCTAGACTCATGTCAGCCAAGGGGGAACTAGGGAGAAGAACTACCTTGGTCCTTGGATCCTCCGACCGAGGGGAGTGTCAGCTCCCCGCGGCCAAAGGATCACATATAGTTTCAAGGTAAGGTAAAGAATTGCGAGGAGTTCGGCAATAATGGCAATTGCCGAAGAAGAGGATTGGAAAATGATGTGCAGCATTTTATTACGAGTAGAGAGAAAAGAAGAAGAGAAGGAAACTCGCGAGGGAAATGCCTTTTAACTTATACGAATTCGCGTGGAGGGGGGAGGACGTTCCACGTTCGACGAGGGAAACCAGATCTAAACTGCAACGACTACTCGAATGGGGAAGCTACAACAGCAGCTTACAGTTATCAAACACTTGCGCTTTTCAGTTGCCACTTGTCATTCGAATCTGAAATTGATCTCCCCCTTATTGAGGCATGTAGTTCCATCCCTGAGTAGTCTTGTGACAGTCGTCAAGACTCGTTGAAACTTCGTGTTCAACTGGTACAAGTACAATCGCGCCCACTTCCAGGACCATACATGTACGGATATGTCTGACCACATCCAAATATCCAACAAGCAGAATCAATCTTTCTCATAAATTGCGCCCGCCTTGAGCCGCTCTCTCTTAACAGGTCGTTCCTTTCCTCGTGATTCAGAGCAGGAACGGCTTGGAGGTCTTCGCCTGGAGCAAGTCCCTCAAATCTGTCCCGAGGTGACTCGTAAGATAGTCTCTCTGCCAGTCGAGCAATGAGAAGGGGTCGACGACGCCCAACGACAGGGGGCAAGTCAGATTCAAGAGGAGACAATCCGGTACCAAGATCTTGCCATTTTGTAATCAACAACGCATCTCCTTGTCCTGCGAAGCGTTCCAAACTGAAATGAAACTCGGTTGGACAGTAATCACACTGACAACTCATGATATCTTCTTGACGACCTCCCGAGACCGTTTCAAGGGCTTCAAACCTTAGAAATAGGCGCTCCGCGACGGCTCTATTATCAAGTGACCATTTATATGTATGAGGGCATTTCACCAGATTTCTATCTAACAGGTACGTCCGACTTGGCCCTTTGGGTGGTATAAGGTATGCTGTCTGCACGCGCATAAGGAGCCTCTCGCCCACGATCTTTGGCGTGGCAATGACTTGCTTGACCTGAGCACCGTCCAGAACAGCCGCACTTCGGTATGCAAGGAATCTCAACAGCTTGTCGCAATCCTTTCCTTGACGATATTGCTTCATGACCATCCGAAACACCGTGAAGCTAAAATTTGGATGAATAAATGTGTGTCCTCTGTGATCAACTTTGAAGCACTGGTCGCACTGTAAAGAAGGGCCCTTGGTTCTTGCCTCCAAATAAGCATACTCGTGTATCTTGTCCATCGGATGCAGATCTCGACAGGAATAACACTCGAGGTGCTCGGGATATGCTAGCTCCAGCACCTCCCAGGGGGGAGACCTGCGAGCTTCAGCGAGACCTTGAGCTTCATAGTAAACGCCAGCTGAACTGAGATGTCGAGGTTCGATAACAAAGTAGACGTGTCGACAAGAACGGCAGAAGGCGAGTTTGGAAGCCGGAGGAAGGAACTCGGCGATGTGGAGTATGATTCCATTAGAGAGTCTTCTAAGAGGCGAGGATTCGAGTGCATTTGGCCTGGTCTGCGCTTCAGTGCCCTTGAAGAGCTTGAGAAATGAACGACTATGATTTTTGGTCGCCATTTGGGTTCACTGTTCCAGGGTAAAATATGGTCTACTTCACAGGGGAGGGGTGCCCACAAATATACAGGCCTAGTTTACAGGATACGTATACGGTATCACTGTGATCTCATGCTACATTTCGGACCTTGGGACGATTGAGTGTTGAGCATTAGTGTACCACTCCCGAAGAACTGCTACGACCCGGTGCACTAACAGGGTGAGCAGACCAAGTGAAAAACGAAAGACCTCAAAACAGGTACGAGCAAAAAAACGAGAGAATAGTTGACTATTACCACTTAGATATCAAGAGGCTGTAATGACATGCATGATGCAACGGTAGAAGGGAAGCCAAGAGAAGAAAGAAAGGGCAAAAAAATTAAAAACATACAACAGCGGGAATTCGCTGGTGGTCACCCACCCAACTACTAATCCGCCGATCTAAGGCTTATGTATGGCAGAGCGGACGGGATGCCCAGTTGTCCTGAGTCTATGGTCGTATGTGATTGCTTTTAGGTTATTTGGATAGATGTAAGGGAGAAAGGAAAGAGATAGGAGAGGAAAGGAGAAAAGAAAAGGGTTACAATAGGGGTAAGCGACGGATCCTAACATTCGTCGCCTGGAACACGGTTAATCATCATCGCCGCTCTGCTCCGGCGCTAATCACCCTCGTCTCACTCTCTGCTTAGGATGCTCAGTCATGTTCCTACTCTCCGTCGCAGCAGCCTGCAATATCACTCATATTGCTAAAGAAAAGCATTTTCTTGGCAAGAGCAGAACCGAAGAACAAGACGCTAAGACAAGGTGAGAACGTCTCTAAGTAGGTAGAACATGACCTAAAATGAAAAGAGGTGTAAATGGAATAATTTGGACTTTCAAACCTACGACATACACCGTTTTAGACAATAGTCACATTTCTTGTTTATCACACACTGGACAAACTTTCATAGCCCTAGAGCTATTCTATGACTGGATATCTAAACCTTTCGGCTATGCTTTAACATCCTGCAATCGTTTATCCCTGAATCGTGTTAGCAAGGCCTACAAGATACAGTAACGACCAGCCACTTACTTCCATACATCCAATAACTTCCTCATCTCACTACTCATCCCAGTATACGGACCACCAAAACCAGCATGATATTCATCTCGTGCTTCCCCTATAGCAATGTCACCGCCATACTCCAAACAAAGTTGGGCACCCTCCAAGAAACCTTGAGTAATGGCGATACCTAGACCCCGCGATGGATCCGCCCCGGCGTCAAGAAGAAGTTTAACAGCAGGAGCGCTCTTTTTCTCGATAGCTATTGCACAGGCATCTCCAATATTCGCACCGTATTTCAGGAGAACCTCAGCCGCAGGGACATTACGGTAGTAGACTGCATAGTTCAGAGGAGATCCATGCTGGGTGACATCCCACTTGACCAGTTCGTTGAGACCTCCGCATGAATCATGGGCATTGACGTCCAAATGATAGGTGTTGATCAGATGAGGGATCATGGCGGCTGCGTTGTTTGAACGACCAGCATGATGGAGGGCATTGCTCTGGGAGGCTTTAGCGCCGCGGGCAACGAGATAGTCGAAGAGGTCGATGTCGCCGTAAACTGCGGCTGCATTGAGTACTGCAACAGTATTATCGCGATATACCCTATCAGCGCCTTTCAGTATTATGTTACCGCCGCGATTGATATCTAGGCCTTGGTCCAACAGCCAGTGTAGTATTTCTCGCCGGCCGATAGCATATCTAATACGTGTCAGAGTAGCTCAAATCACCCTTCGTAGATAGGACTCTAACGCCAGAACTGGGTCCTCTTCAGATTTGTAGTCCTTTCCAAAATCGGCAAGAAGCTGGAGCATGGCTACAGAGCAACCAGCTCTAATCAGTGAGACAAAGGGTATCACCTTCGGATCAGCCCCATGCTCAAGCAGACATCGCGTTCTGTCAAACAGCAGGGTCAATTACCACCGGATACAGAACCTGTTCCCCTAATTACCAACTGACCCTTGATCAATATACAGGGATCGATCCCTTACACCCTGTTTAATAGTTTATAGTGTTGTTAGGATTCAGGTACTTAGGTACCTACATACCCTGTTTATAGCGGATACAGTACCTATACATGTAAATAACAACCCCTTTTTTAAGTATATAGAACAAGGGACTACCCTTTGTTCTATTTAATTTAGTTTAATTTAATCTACTTCTAACTAACTTAAATTCGCCTATTATTACTACTTCTTTATAGTAATATATAACCTCTTTTATTTAACAGTTATAAGCCCGGGTTACTTTAATAGCTATTTAGTAACTATTATTTTAATATAAAAACACTTTTTCGACTAATTAGAGAGCTTAAATTACAAGAGCTAAAACAGTGTTAAAAGGGATTAATATCGACCCCTTTCTACTTTCCTTAAACACCTAGTTCTAAGTACTACTAATAGCTATTTAACACTACTAATAATAGTAGAATTATACCTAATTTCAACGATTTTAGCAGACTCTACTACTTAGTAGAAGTACGTTAACTACTCTTAAACAACTAGAGTTACTTCTTTTGTTTACCTTCTTTTATTACTACTTTTAGTTAACATAAAACAACTAGAAACATGCCTAGAAATATACTAGTTCTTAATAGATCTAGTAACTAGGATTACTAGATAGAAGTCATTAAATCTAAAGCGCTTAGTACTAGAGTTTAGATATATATTAACCTAGACACTATAAAAGCAGAACTCCTTGTTCTAGTAGAGCTAAGCCTCTTAGATCCTTTAGATATTAAAAGAGTCTCTAAAGATAGCTTAAGAGTTACTTACGCTATACTAATAGACAATAAGAAAGAATAATATTATATCTACTAAAGATATTACTCTAAATACTAAAGAGAGTATAAGCGCCTAGCTTAATTAGTTAGAGACATACGCTCTCTAATTACTAGATTAGTAAGGAGAGACTACGTTAAATACGTTAACGCTAAGGACATAGTATATAAGATCCTAGTAGATCTTTAGTAAAAGGTTGTACCCTCTAATAAAGTTAAACAAGATCTCTTTTTATAAGATCTAACTAACGCTAGTATCTTACTAAAAAGGGGACAGTCGGTTATAGCCTAGGTAAAACGCTTTAAGTCTACTTACCTAGCTTGTTTAGTTAATAAGATACTAGAGGTATCTAGTAATAGACTAATTAAGGCCTTTATTAACGGCTTAGAAGAAGTTAATTAATACTTTGTTAAGATAGTACGCTATAGGTTACTTAAGAAGGAGGTAATAACGTTTAAAGAGGTATTAAATAAGTTTAAACTTAACCTTAGAAGCTAGAGAGACATTAGAGTTACCTAATATAGTAATTACAGCGCCTTCTTAACTATAGAGGCTATACTTAGTAGAAGGAGTAGTAGTAGTAGCGGTAAGGGTAAGCCTAAGTACTTATATAGTAGCTACTACTACTACTATAATTACTACTATTTAATACTATCTAAGCGTCCTAATTAGTAGAAACCTTATAATAACGTCTAAAAGAAGATCGACGATTAGCTAAACGTAAATAGTAAGCTTAAGGCTTTAATTAAGTTAATTAGAAGAAAGAAAGAAGAGAATAAGTAAGGTAATAGTAATAAGAAGAATAGTAAACCTAACTAGGACAAGGATAAAGACGCCTTAGAGGTATTTACTATAGACTTTACTATAGCTACGTCTAACGCTTATTAAACTAACTTTAGCTACTTAGTTTCTATATTAACTCTAACTCTAATAGTCTAATTAGTCTAATCTCTTTCCTTTAGACCTACTTATCTACTTAAGGATAGCTTTATTCTAGACTTAAGAGTAACTATCTACGTCTATAACAATAGATTACGCTTCTACTTTATTAAGCCTACCTTACTAAGGAGTGTTTTAATAGCCGGTAAGGACTATATCTAAATTAAAGCTTTTAGAGACATTAAGATCTAACTTACTAGCCTAAAAGGGAAATTTAGTATAGAGCTAAAGAGTGTAGCCCTTGTTCCTTCCTTCTATACTAGCGTGGTTTCCTTACGTAAGATGATTTAAAAAAGAGTCTACTAGGATATAAAGGGAAACTGTCTAACTTATAAGAATAACACCTTCTGTTATACTCTTATTAAGTTTAACTAATAGGTACTTAAATATAACAGTTCTACTACTAGATCTGCCTTTCTAGTAATCTAAGATATCTCTTCTAATAGTACTCTTACTTACCTTATATCTAATTCTAAACTAGGGTTAATTAAATATAAGCTACAAACAGTAGTAACAAATGTATTAACTATCGAATTAACAGTTGTTTTAGCGGCCTTTCTAACTAACTTACACCTACTAAGAGTATGTTAGGTATATTTCTATAGAGTAAAAGAGGCAAGAGTTAATAGACAGTTGTAGTATATTTAAAGGTATATTACTACTTTAACTATAGACTAATCTCTAAACCCTCTTTCTTTTCTCTTCTTACCCTTTATTCTTATACTCCTTAATGCCTACTATTACCTTAGTTATAGTACGTAGTTACCCTATACTTAATTTCTAAGCTATTATAGTCTTACGTGTTAGTATACCTAACATAACATCTTTCCTTTTTAGCTTCTATTCTTAGAAGCTTATAGGTAGCCGTTAGATTATAGAGAGGCTAAGGCAGGCTAATACCTCTTTAGAAACAAGAATAAATACATAAGAATAAATTAGTAAGTAAATATATAACTATATAACTATATAACTAGTAGTGTTAAGAAAAAGAGAACAGTAGTAACTTTATAGCGTAGTAAAGGTACGTAGCTAAACTACGAGATTTCTATTATATATTATACTTTTAGATCTCTACTTAGTACGCCTCTTATATTTACTTTTAGTAAAGACATATTATAGTAAAGTACTAGTAAGTCGCTAGATAGTTGTAAGACCCTTAATACGTAATATAAACTGTATTACTTAGGCGTACTAGTATTCCTTACTCTTTTACTACTTTTAGAAATCCTTTATTACCCCTTACTAGAAGGTTGATAGTATACTAATAGTAGGTAGCTATAAGGATTAAACTATATTACTTATAATTGTATTTTTTAAGTAAATATAAAAAAACACCTCTTTTGTCCTTCTTTACTTAGTCTGTCCCTTATAGCGCTAAGAGGTATATAAAGACTTGTTTTTACTAGTTTGTTACTTTCTTTTCTTCTTTTTACCTTATACAAATACAATACTACTACGCCCTCCCCTTTTTACGACTCTTTTAACAAACTTTTAACGTACTTTTATTAAACTATTAATAATAATATAGTACTAACAAAGTGTTTAGTAGCTTATAAGCGATACTTAAACTAAATAGCTTTATAAGACTTATAAGGTACCCTACTAAAGTATAAGGATAACGACTATAAGTATTCCTTTTTGTTAAAGAGTAATAGCCTAATAGTATAGTAGCTATATTAGTAAAGTATGTCTATTATAAAAATCTAAAAAAAGAGTACATTTTTATAAGTATAACCCTTTTTAAGGCGACACTCTTATGTCGTAGCTTTGTTAACGTTACTAGGTTATTTTAACTCTCTAAGCTAAAGGAATCAAACTTTAAAAGGTAATTATAAAAAAGAATAAGGTAAGGTAGTCTGTTATTTATAGTAAAGTTAAAGCTAATATAAACAGGCTATAATTTAGGCCGCCTAAACTTTAGTAAAGAAAAGCCTTTAACATTTAAAGTCTTAGACTATAATGTTAGTAAAGAAGAGGCTTTATAGTAACAAAGTAGATAAGAAAGAGCGCGTAAAGTAAAAGTTAGGTTATCTAGTAAAAATTACTTATTAGTTAGAGCTTTATAATAAGTTTATTATAACTATAAATATAAAGGTAGACTATTATAATTAGCTTATAAAAGAGGTGATCTAAGTATAGTAAGACTATATTACTATCTTTAAAAAGTACGTGTCTTATTTTAAGAAAGTTATAAGTATCCTCTACCCTAATACTAAGTCGCTACTAACTTAAAAGTAGTACGTATACGAATTATAGTAATCTAAAGAAAGTAAAGAAGTAAAGGATAAAGTAGTAGTAGATACTATAAAAGATAATAATAAAGAAAATAATAATAGAAAAGATAGTAATAAGGACAAATAATAAACGACTAAAGGTTAAAGTGTCTTTAATAAGTAAGATCGTACTTTAGATTTTTTTTTCTTTTTCTTTTTTCTAAGATATATTATAATAAAGTTAGTAGAGCTTTAAAGGGTATTTACTAGTAAAAGAGTAGTTTAGTGTTTTTTTTTAAGATACTTAAGTTTCTAAGTTTTTATATAATAAATATAGAAGTCGTACTTACGTTACTATAACTATACTAGTAACATTATACCTTTTTAACGATTATCTTAATGTATTTGTTTATATTTATATAAAAGTAAGCTATTATTAAGGTTTTGTCGTAGTTCTTATAAGTTTTTTAAATCGTTATACCCTTTTTATTTTATAAGATAGAGTTTATTTCTTTATAGGCCTTTATAG